AGATAAAAGCAAAATGCGGTTTCACATTTTGTGTTTTGCGGTTTTTATGGGTGTTTTTTACCGCTACTTCGCCCCCTGTTGATGGATCTTCACCAAATTTGGCATGAAGGTTTGTTGAGTCCTTGGGAAATTACATACAAAGTTGCAGTTTTTATGGGCGTTTTTCGTTTTATACAATTACATATAAGGGAAGCAACTTTTCATGTCTTAAGATAACCTGTCATTAATCATGAATTTGCATAACTTCCATCTAGGGAACGGGTACTCAAGCTAGTATTTAATAATCGCTTTCTTGTATGCTATTTATTTCAAGATATTAAACATTCTTCCAGATTTTTCTATTGGGATTTAATTCTTTTGGTTTGGAGTTTGTTTGTTTTTTTTGTTCAAAATGATACTTCTTTTGGACAACTGGTACTAATCCTTATTAGTTTAGTGTTACTCTTTTATTCTTCTTCGTTATTCCAATCCTGCGTTTCATCTTTCGATAGTATGTTTTTCGGTATTAGTTGTGATCAGTTTCTTTTGTTTTTCAGTCTTAGATCTTCCACGTTAGTGCTAACATTTTCTAGTATTATCCAGTCGTTTTGACGTTATCTCAATCAGTGTTATTTAGCTTCTCCTAGAACTAATCCAGCCTACACAAACCCATCCGCCCTCTTTCCTTTCGAAATCTTTTTTTTTTACTAACCAGACAAACTACACTGTCAAATAAATTGATAGGTAATTCCGTTTATTTTGTGATGAATTATCTCAGTTAAAAATAACTAGCTACGCCAAGTCTTCGTATACGAACACTACTAATTTAACTGCTTTACATTTTCAATTCTTATTTGTCTGCGTTGATTACAGTACTAAGTATATGACAACTCATGTTTACACAGATTGTTCCGTTTCTTTCTCCCCATTTCTGGCCTGGCGTAGCCTGGTGGTCAAGGTGCTCGACTCACAACCTGAGGGTCACGGGTTCGAATCCTCGTCACCGAACATGCTCGCCCTTTCAGCTGTGGGGGCGTTATAAGGTAACTGTCAATCCCACTATTCGTTGGGAAAGAGTAGCCCAAGAGTAGGCGGTGTTGACTAGCTGCTTTCCCTATAGCCTATCACTGCTAAATTAGGGATGGTTAACGTAAATAGCCCTCGTGTAGCTTTGCGCGAAATTAAAACAAACAACCCTCATTTCTTTTTCCAACTAGATGGCGCTCATCATGCGATATTAATTCACGTGTTGCCCGATGCTAAGAGTAGAGGAGTCTGTGAAGTCGTTTTTGAACTATCCAATAAAATATAAGAAGAAGAGATAATAACGATAGGAAATGTACATAACAGATATAAATAAGTGATGCCACATTTTCTAGAATCATCCGACAGTTACCTTAAAGCTGATTGGAATCTACGGGAAAGGAATCATTTAATAAAAATAATATTTTAACTTGCGCATAAAAACCTCATTAACGTCGGTGTTACTCATCGTCTTCTAACCGATATTCTCGGACGTAGGTGTTATGCAGGTAACGTGACATTTATCAACCCTTACGATTTACACGTATACGTTAAACACATAAAGATAAGTAAATTTCAAGGAAAAGAAGCACGTGCTCGTGATTTTCTAACGATAAGCATGATTTGAAACAATGTATGACATGCCGCTGTGCCACTGGGGGGGGGGGGGGGGGCATTGAAACAATGAATTGTCTAGATATGGTTTTTATATTGCCACTGGTAAAATTGTTCTCGAACCTCTGACGAAAAAATACAGTGAATCAAAAGCTGTTAGTTATAAAGTAGCTTGGGATAAAAATGAATCTCACAAACGATATTAGGTGAATGAAATATAATACTTCAGAACACGCAAAAACATTTACTTCAATATTACACGGAAAGTATGGATTAGTAAAGTGGCGCCATCTTTTGTAGGATGCTGGATACGATATGAGATACAAGAATTTGCTGACAGAAGTCCTCCGATGGGACAGTGGTAAGTTTACGTACTTACAACGCTAAAATTCGTAGTTCGATTCCCACGGCGTACACAGAGGATAGCTCATTGTGGCTTTGCTCTTAAAACAAACAAACAAACTGCTGATAGAAAAAAAATGTATATGTAATAACTTAAAATATACGCGTACAGTTAGTACCTTAGCATGACATTAAACACGCACTTAAGCTGTCGAAGGTTACCCTTTTCTGTTTATGTGTTTACATTTCTTCATCTAATCTATAAAAATGAGACAAATAATACGTTGAAATTTGGTACATCAAATTTATTTCAGTGAATGTAAAACCCAGTGTTTGTACAACAATAAACAGGAACACATAAATTCAGCTGAATATAATATTATAATCTGTCAATAGGATGTGACATTATGATAATTTTGAACATAAATACTTGAGCGATTTTATATTTTCGCAAATAAGAAACATTACAGTTTCCACATTTAAAAAAAAAAGTATGCAACTAGGCCTAATTTGATGCTCAACACGCTTCAACATATTGTTGCGTCAGCGAGGTCACGTGACTAGCGTCACGCCACTTCTTTCGAACCTTCGGGAATAGTCGGG